TGGTTTTGGTTTTTATGAAGTTAATTTTGCAGAAAGAAGGAGCTTGAATGTTTGTATAGCTGCAGAGGAGACACTTGGAAGGATTGCTGTCAGCAGAGGTCATGCTGGCTTCATGTTTTTTCATCTTGAAAAGTGTGTGTGCCTGTGTGCATCTGTTAGGAATGAAGGAAAGTAAGTGCAGTAGAGGCAGATTTAATGTGATTGTGCTGTGTTGTCCGTGTGTCTCTGGTAGGAAAATCTGAGTGTATTTTGACCACACTGTACACAGCAGCACCAGTGCACATCACCATGTTAAGAGTTTGCAGCTGTTCATAGAGCAGGGTACAGCCCAGTTAAACCCCAGTGAAATGCTACAGAGAGCACAGTGTAATGCAGTTTAATATGTCAATAGATGCATCTCTTCCTTAGGAAGGCTGACAGAAGCACAGCTGGACCCATGCCTGTTTGGGAAAGTTAACACTCATCTGGGAGTTTTATTTTTCTGCCACACCAGAAAGGCTTTCTCATGGGATGCAGTACTTGAAGTAACAAGTCACAGTGATTGCATCTTTGCAGGTACACTTAGTGAGCTGTGCTGAGGCTCTTGCATGGTCTGTATAGCAGCCAGCTGTAACATGGGCCTTGGCACAGGAAGAGGAGAAGAGAGGATGAACCCATGCACTGGTCTCAGCACCGGCTCACACGTGAAGCAGCCCTGTCGCTGTGCCTGCTCCTACAGCAGCTCTCCCACACACATCAGAGCCCTGTTTTGTGGCACTTGCACCCCAGAGGGAACCAGTAGCTCTGTGCCCTTGGCAACCATTCTGGTTGGAGGAGGGCTGGATCAGAACAGGCTCCTGCAGCGGAGCTTCCCACCCAGACCGCTGTCTCTTGCACCTGCTTTGACCATCTGCTGCTTTGTATCTCTGCTTGTTAATCCCCAGACCTTGCTGCATCTCTGTGTGCTGCCTGGCCCCAAAGCAGTATTGTAGCAGTTTCCTATTGTCAGAAGAGCTGGAATTTCTGCCAGGTCAGTCTGGCATCACTTCCTTGGTAAAATAGTTCTGTAGACACTGATGACTTGAAGCGGTGCTCTCTCTGGCTAGATTTTCACTGTTTATCTTCATAAAGACAATTAAATCTTTTAAGCCCACCTTTCTTCCTTGATACCAGCATTTTTAGACCCACAGAGAGTTTGTTCTCCACTAAGTGTGGTTAAACTTCTGCAGCTCTTTCTCATAACAGGCATCACTAAAGAAATTCTGTAAAGTCTGTGTTTTGTTGGGGCTTGGTCTGAAAAGCTCATATGAAAAGCTGTGGTGTGGTGAATCTGTTCAATTGACTTTGTTTTCCTTGTTGACAAAGATGGGGGGAAATAAGACTACATGTCCTCTACATGCCTGCAGAATAGGATAAACTGTCCATGCAGACCTTTAACAAACCTAGCTGAGGAAACCATCTGGCATTGACCTCTGGATATGTCTCTCTCAGAGTCATTTCTGCCACCGTGGTGTAGGCATGCCTGCAGGCCCACACCTTCATGGCACATTCTCAACTCTGCTTGCAAAGATAGCCTGGTAGTTCTGCCCATGCCACTGTCATGGAGACATGTTGGCAGGAATGCTCAGTAACTGCAGAACCTCATTTCATGTCTAGACAATGTTCCCCTGAAAATTAGCTGAGTTCCTCTTGGGACAGCTCTTGAATGCAGGACAGTGTGGAAGCAGAATGAGATATCAAATGGATTAAAGAAAACTACAGGGAATTAAACCTAGCTAGTCCTATCCTTCCTGCAGAACAAAACCAGGTCCTGATTTGGAGCTTCTGCATGGATATACCTTTGTCACTTGAAGCAGTGGGATGCTGTTCCTCTTGAAGAAGCTGCAGGAGCACATAGTTTAGATGTAGAGTTGTTGAAACATGGACTTCTCTCTCCTCTAGAGGTCAGCGCTAAGGGTCTTGCCAGTCAAGCCTTTGTGTGATCTCCAAGTCAGGTTTTATGTCTACTTGAATAATACTCTGTAAAAAAGTCAGTGAAATGATTTCTAAACCCAGTGTCCACTAAGACTGCTAGAGAAGAGAAAAAGATGCTCTTCCCTTCAACAGTCACCCTGCGCCCACACACACGAAGTATCACTGTTCACCTTCAATTCTTCCTTCTTCAGGACTGTATGGCAGCAATGTTATGTTGAAGTGACAAAGAGCTTTTTTTAGAGCTAGAGGAAAAAAGGAAGGTAGATGGCTTTCAAGTCTTATTTCAAGGATTAAAATAAAAACCTGGGAGAGGGAATATAAAACAATATAAAAACATGGCGAGGGAATATACTCACTGCATCTGAGTTTTTACAGCCACCTGCTGTTTTCTGCTGTTTCTTAATCAAACATGGTAACATCATATGCTCCTTATGTCTTCCACTGTTGCCTATTTTACCTTTCAAGGGTTTTTTAATCTTTATTTTTTTGACACATACAATATAAGAAAGAAAAATATAAGAGGGAACCTCAGCTGTAGTGATCAATCAAGTTAATTTCTAGTGACCGGACATACAACACATCTAATTAAATGCATACCAAATCAAGTCTCTTTTAATCGTATGTTGTTCATTGTTTGAAATCATGTCTTAATGTTTTTATTAAATGTAAAAAAAATAAAATAGTGGGTTGTAGTACTAAGATTAAAAGCATTATAAACTCAATCAAGCTAGAAGTAGACAGCAGTGTCAAAGTGCTAATTAGAGCAAATCAGAATTAACAGATAGCGTTGTACTACAACCAGACCATTACATTAAAATATAATCAACACTTATGAATTCCCAAATAAGAAATCTGGAGAGAAAGCTGCCTATTTAATTATACATTCCAATTAACATCCTGGTCTCGATGCACAAAGCTTATCTGAACATCTCACTGTTGGCCCAGCTGAGTTACTTGAAAGTCACATTTGCAGTCATTGGTGCTTCTCCTTAATTGGACTGTTACAGGGTGGATGTTTTCCTGTGCTTTCTCTTGAGCACTCTCTACAACAAAATCAGTTTTATGGCAAAGCTGTGCTCTGGAGAGGTTGGCAGCTAGAGCTAAGCACTTCAAAATGCTAATTAAAACTGTGCTTTTTTTCCAAATAAACAACATGCACAAGTTCAAAAATATTTTACAGGAGAACATAGGTGAATTAAAATCATAAACAAATTAAAGTTTGGAAAATTTCAAATGTCTGCGCATGCATGTACTAGATCTGATTGTATTCTTAGACAATGAAACAGTAAGAGGTCCTTCCCATTCAAACAGAAGAGCAAAGGGTAACTGCTAACAAGATGAAATGTGCTACAGCTATTCTCTCCGTCTAGTCCTCAATGAACAGTTTAAAAAGCCAGCAAAATATAAAGGTGTTATTAGCTATATCTTTGAATAGAAAGTTCATTAAATCTACAAAACTAACAATAAACAGTTTCAAACTAACGTGAAAGGCAAAGACCATGCAGACTTAGGCCAACAGTTAGGCTTTTGTGCACGGTTTGTGGGGCTGGATGCTCCTGTGTGACACCACCAGTCTCAGTGCAGGAGATTGGAATTGTTCACTTCTTAGGCCTTCTTAAAGAGCAGTTGTTTGCACTCTGGCTTAAGTTCTGTGTGTGTAATTTTTTCTGGTCAAACCACCCAAAAAGTGACAGATGTGTCTTTAAAAAGTCTTTAAAACAGGGAGAAAGATTAAACGAAACTGGAGGGAAGAGTAAGCTAACTGTAGATACAGTAAGAGCTGTAGAAAATATATCAAGGACTGTTGCAAAGAGATGGGGTATAACCTGACAGAGTAAAGAAAATAATGAGTTGAAAATGCAGCAGGAGGGATGAAGTGTAGGCATTAGGAAAAAATACGTAATCATTCAGGATGGCAATGTACTGGGAAAAAATACCTCAAGACCTTGGTGCAGGTATCATGAGTATTCCCAATTTCAAAACAGGTTGGACAGGCACCTGTAAAAAATTACCTGAGCATTTGCTACCTGGAGCCTCTTTCTAACCCTGGCTGATAGTGATCACAGATGGGGCAGGCTTCATAGCACTTTATCACAGGAGGGAAAAGGATGTCACAGATTGCCTTCATGTACTAGTGATACCCTGTGGAATCAGCAAAATGGCTTATTTTCAAACAACAGTTGATTTTTCAACATTTTCAACTATTTTCAACAAACAGTTGATTACTAGGCACTGAGCTCAGACTTTGGGAGTTTAAATAGGTTTTGTAATTGCTATCTGACCAATTTCTTTTGGAACAAGATTAAAATAGATTCTTTAGTTGAGTGAAAATTTGGGATCATGTTCCAATTTGAGGTGAAAAGCTACTTCAGAACATCAACACTGGAGCTGCTGAGAAAGATTTAAACTGTTACTTTCTCATTCTCTGAATTTATATGGGCAGTATTTCTGTCATGGTATTCTATTCCATGCTTACTTCCTTATTTTAGCATGCTTGTCTTCAGCTATGATCCACTTATGCTTTTTTATTTGCAGCCTTTGGGGTGTTTTTTAAAGCTTGTTATTTTGTAAAAGGCAGTATTTCCCTTTCTTAGAGGAGTTGATGTAGAGTGACTAAAGAGGTAAGACTAGGTTTTAGTCAGGAATTGCTGAATTCTGCTTGTCTGTCCGTCTGTGAGCTAAGATAAGCTTATGTGAAGACCCTTGTTGTTCCTTAAATACATTTTGTCTCTTAGCCACTTGCTGGCATCTTCTGTTGCAGAATGTTTTATACAGAGCAATGCCCTGCTCTCACTCCAATGCTGCTGCCAATCTCACAGTTTTCTTGTCAAATATTAGAAACTTGAACCTTCAGTATTGTCTTTGAGATGGATTCTGTTACTTTCTGTTACTTCACTGCAGACATCTGTGGCATTCAGATCGTGTCTTGGCATGGGTTATACTCTTGAGTACCTGTGAGGAACAGTTTTATGCAGATAGATGCAAAATGAGCATAGCTAGTGGTTGAATTATTCTACATCTAAAGTTGCATTTTTATTCTCTTCCAGCCATACTATTAGAAGACAGAAATTCCAGTGAGAGTGCCTGGAAGAATAAAATTTCTATATCTGCCCTAAACACTCCAGAGCCAGCAATGATGCATGAGCCTTTAGTTGGCAGCCAGAAAAGGAAAGCAAGGAAAACTAAGATCACGCATCTTGTCCGAACAGCAGATGGGCGAGTGTCACCAGCAGCAGGGACACTGGGTAAGGAAATTTGAGTTAATATTTCATTAAAACTGAGTGGTTGGAGAAGGTTTGAGGGTACAAGCAACCTATCAGGGCAGTGGTTTTTAATTAGCTTGTTTTCTTACCTGCTTAGAATGGTCATTATTTAATATACAGCTATCAACCACCTGGGAAATCACTGAGTCCATAATGGCCAACTTCCTTTATTTGAATGACCAAATTTATCTTTTCTCCCTGGGTATTGCACTCTAAGAACTGTGAACTGATGCAGAGAGAAATGGAGAATGGTTACCTTTCAAAATTTGTTTCCAGTAATGCCAGAGTCCCTGTTGGAGTTCTCCAGTAAGATAATCTTTCAGGACTGCTGTATCTAAAACATACACAAAAGCTCTCTTGCCTGAGCGAAAAGATGACATTCAGTTGAATGCAAAGTCAGTAAACTGCTTCATAAAACTTAGTACTGTGCTTCTGACCCAGTAGTTTGATTCAGAAGAGGTTACAGCATGAATCAGATGACACTGGCAGAATCAAAATCCTAAAGGTACAGGTTCTGTTAACACCAGACTAGTCAGCATATCAATAGGCTGCAGTGGATTTATGGACTATGTCTGCATGCTTAACTTTCTTTCTTTGCAGAGGAGAAGCCAAAAGAGCTGCCACAAAGTACTCTTCAAAAATCATCAAGTGCAGAAGCAGACTGCAACAGTGAATGCTCCAGAAACACAGAGACAGAAGAAAATCATAGTATTACGTCAGATATGCCAGCGGTGTCTGCATTCTTTAGCTTAGCTGCTCTGGCAGAAGTAGCAGCCATGGAAAATGTACACAGGTATGGATTTCTTTTCTTCTTGTTGTCTTAAGTAAACAGTATGTGGCTGACAGCTTGTTCAGAAAGATGTGAATAGCAGACTGTTTAATTTGGCCTACGTTTCCCCTTTCACAGCTTTCTATGAATGCTTTACCCCACTTGCTTAGTATTATTAAGTCTTCACCTAAATGACAGTGTAATGTTTAGCAGTTAGTAAAATGATCCTTCTCAGTAAGCATACGTACCAATTTTTGTATGTAAACAGGTTCATATGCTCCTTGAGATCCTAATGATTGAGAATTATCAGATGCTATGTGTGAGATAACAGCAGATTTAAATAGCTACTGAATGATGATTTGCATTTTCCAGGTACCAAAAACCTAAGATGGTGGAGAAAATTTAATACATTTTGAGATTAATTTTTTTATGCTGAACATGGCTGAGGGAAGCTAACTAGTTATTCTTATTCCTGTGCTTTGCTGTGTAAAAGGCAAAGCATCTGCAAAATTGCATGGGGCAGAACAACTCTGGCTGATGGAAAGCCGTGGTAGCCTAGGTTGGTCCTCTCAGTTATTGAGTAGGCCATCCATACAGATCAGGTGGAGAATTACTTACTTATGAATCAGTACAGTACATCAATGGTCAGACCTGTGATGGGAGTAAATCAATTACAGCAGGTCCTCCTTGGCTCTTGATTGTCCAGTGTTGTTCTTTCATGGAACTTACTGGATATGAAACTCCGTCCTCTCCTGCAATGAAAACTTGTTGAGGGAGCATTGGGCAGGTTTGAAATCATCACAGCCTCTGCAGATGCCATTTGACAGATTGCTGGCTGCCTAAGCAACTCCTCAAGGCAGGAGTTCATTAAACCATTCACAACCTCAATTAACTGTTCCTCTCATGGACCCCAGTGATGAACCCAGTCCTTTGTGTTCTGGCTGCACATCAAATGCTCAAAGGCTTTTTTGAAGCTCAGGAACCCTAAAAGAAATAGATGTGCTGGTTCCTCTCTGCAGAAGGTGTTGTCTTGCTTAAGCAGTGTTGGATGAGAAATTATTTCACACTGCAGTCAGTCTGTCATCATAAGCCACAAAATGGAACTTTTGGAAGTGCTGTGCTAAGCTCTGCTCTCACTCACACCATTGTGGTTTCATTGACTGCCATTAACACTGACCAGAAATGCACAAAAGCAACAGGATTTGCTCTGCTGTGGTTTTTCTTCCTTGTGCCTCTTTAAATGTTTTTGTCCTCCTCTTGTCCTTGTTGAAGCAAGCTAATGTTTTGCAGAGCTTTGTGCTTGGGTCTTTCTCTTTGAATCCCATCTTTTGTCATGTCATTATGTAGCTTGGGCAATGCAGCACCTTTCATAAGGCCTGAAAATACCAAATGGGCAAATATCCCACAACTGTTGGAAATGCCAGTTGGTAATCATCCTGAGGAATGTGAAATGACAACAGGGAAGGACTCTTCCAGTAGAAAGTTACCCACGTCTCTCACTTACTTGGCAAATGGAAGTCAAAACAGAAAACTAAATCTTACAGGCTAGATGCTTCTCTGTTTTCTACTCTGCCAACAGTTGTTACTTTTTGTAACTCACTTTATTTGCAAATATCGAGAAATGTGAAGAAAAGAAGTGGAGGTTTGCTTGATGTGCTTCTTCAGTGTCTGAATGTATTTTTTTAATAGTTTCATAGAGCCTTGGGACATGGAGTCCTTCTGGCAGCGTGGTTTTCATTTGGAGTCTTCTGCTTATCTTCATTTACCTTGTGCATGCCCTGGTTAAGCACTGTGAGTCTGAGCTGCATTTTGTGCCAGGGCCACTTCATTACACTCCCCTTGTGTGAAGCATATGAGTACCTCTGCTGGGGATCTTAGTTTGGCCAGAGTGAGGTAAAGTGTCCCTGGTGTGAATAAGAAGCAGGCCCCAGATTTTCATTGCTACCAATGGCAAATACTGTAACAAAAATAGAACCTTACTTGTGAGAGTAAGTAACAGGCAGTGATATGCTTGGTGTATGTATTTTTAAAAGGCAAGCTGCAAAGGAGTTCTCCCAAGTCCATTTGATACCATGACTGATGTTGATTTCCAGCACGTAATTCTGGCACAGTTTATTTTTACAATGCCCTGTGCCAAGAGATCATTTTTAAATTAACACTGCTGTAGTAATGAAAGAGATGTGCTAGGCTGATGTAGTCAGGTTATGTGGAGGAATCCCAGTGCAACTGTGCTGATGAGTCTATTTCCATATTGCTTAAAAGCTGCCTGTTGACTCACACTAACATGATCTGTGCCTCTGTGCATTTACCTTTTGCTACACATGCTATCTGCTCTGTGTCTGAGGGCTGCAGCAATTCCCTTACAAAATGAGTCACAGCACTTGTGCGCTCTTAACTTACTCTCATGCTCTGTATTTTGCTTTGTGTAGTCAAATACCATCACATCTGGTTTTTCCTGCCTTTGCACTGTGATGTAGGTTGTCCTGTTGTATGTATTACTGTTGCAGGGACTCCTCTGAAAGCAGGTGTAACCAGAGTATGTGAGCACCTGCAGCAGTGAGGAGTTACCGTGCTGCCGTGTCCGTGTCGGGTGCTAAACCCTACAACTGCTGCTTCCTGTCTTTCCTGGTCTGATAACAGCACCTCCTGTGCTCTAAGTATTGATGGGTGGCTTTTCTTTTCTTCTTTTGCAGAAGTCAGAGGGCCACACCTCTCCCACATGATGGACAGCCAAATGAAATGTCTCAGGCTCCAGTGCTTATTTCCTGCGCTGACCAGTGAAGCTCCACTTTATTGTAAAACATTGTGCTTTACCTAATATCCTAGCCTTGTCTTTACCAAGGGAAGCTAGTCAGTCCATATGATGGAACTAGAGACTGCAATAAAGTGCTTATTGCTCTGAGTGGCCCAGAATTCACTGGAAGCCAGACATTAGCAACTTGGGCCAGGTCCTCAAATTGGAACCCAGTATGTAGGAGGGTGATACTGTCTATTAATGAACTGAAATGGAGTGGAATGATCCCAGAGCTTGCTTTCTATTGAAGGCTTTTAAACAGTAAACAGGTGGTTGGTGTGAAAAAGGCTGCCTTTACTGTTAGCTCACACAGCATCTCTTTTACCAACCAGAGAGTACGACAACTAGTTTCATATAATATCTAGTTATTCTAAATGAAAAAGAAAAAAAAAACCCAACAAAAACACTGACGCACTGCACTAGTTACTATTAGATATTCTTAGTCATTTTTGTACATGAAGATTTAAGTTCTAAGATGGTTTATATTAATAGGTTATGCCTACGTTTATATTGTAGAATGAATTTAAAACCTGTTCCAGAGAACTCAAGGCAGCCTGGACAGATGTACCATTGTTAGCGGTGTTTGGGCAGCCACGTGGTCCAGATGTTCTGCACTTTTATATTTGCCACCAGAGTGGTAGAGTTTACTGGGAAAAGTTCTGACAGGCTACGTTTGGGTTTGTTTCTTTTTAATTTAGCTTTGAATAACCAGGATGATGTGCATTAGAAAAAGGTGTGGTGTATGGAAAAGAAATATTGCAGATAATTGACTTGTCTTTCATGCCTTGGAGGGTTCCTTTATTTTTGCATAGATAGCCGAGCGACTTGGTGAAACTTTCCTGTAAACAAAAAGTACTGCAAATGCGTTTTTCAAAAGTGACCTTAGTATTATTTCACAGTTCTGAATAACTTAAAACCATGACGTTTCGATATAGTGTACACCAATACACATACCTTTTGCATTTTACAGACACTGGCATTGTTGTAGTTACTATGCACAGTCCAAATCGGCTTCAGAGTTTGCATAAAGGGCCAACTACAGTTTGTGTTGGTAAAGTGGAAAGCTGTATACAGTTAAACTACAACTGAAGAGTAGCGTTTGACTGAATTCAGACTACAAAACAGATCCATCTGCCAGTTTCTGTCTCTGCTTGTGTTGAATTTTTGTGTTTTGCTGTCATAAATACATCCCAAAAGCAGGCCAAGTGTATCACTTGGCCTGTTACCTTCACTATTCTGACTTACACTATTGTTTAACCAAGCATTGATTCCTACCAATAGATGCAAAATGATCACTAGTAATTGATCTAAAGCTACAAATTCAACAGGGTACTTCTTCTATAGCACAAGATGTTTCCCTACTTTTTGCATTGTAGCACAACAATTTACCAAATTGGACTCCAGCAATAATTTTCTATTAGTCTTCGTCATACCGGCTGAACTTTTGATAGTATTAGATTGAGTTTGAAGTTCTTTGAATTAAGTCTTTAAATGATGCAAGTTTACATCATTCTATCAGGCATTCTTATTTATACTTGACTGAATTGATAATGTGTTTTGAGGTTATTTTGTAACTAATTTGATGTAATAGCCATATGGACAGTAATTGTTAATGCTTGCTAGGTTTAGCCTTTCATTGTTGTAGTTAAGTGAAAGTCTCTGGTTCAGTGTCAGGAAACAACATACAGTGTACCACAAGAGTTTTAAGAAAGGATTAAAGGTCCGACAAAAGGCACGTAGCTGGGGAAGTGTCACTGAAACAGCAACATCGAGGATGCATGTGGTGAGAGAAGGGAACAAGAGAACAACAAAATTTACAAACCAATGAGTCAGTGAAAAGGCTTTTTTAAAAATTCAGGTGACTAAATATCTAAGAGCCCCTAGAATGCCATTGCAGCTTATGGTGGTATTTTAAATAAGATTTTATTAAAGTTTTATAAGTTATTTTAACAAGACAGGAAAAATTTAAAAGACTTAAAACTTGTGGGTCACAGCAGGGTGGCTTTTGGAGTTTTGGACCACTTTATAATTAGCTGAAATCCAAATATGTTACAGTGCAGGCCGTTCACGTTGACAATGGTACTAACTTATTTCTCTAGAAACCTTTAGAGTAGATATATTTTTGTCAAAGCACCCCATCCTTCCTCGATTTAAATTTCAATATTGTTCCTGGAGATATTTCTGTATATTAATGGTACCTTTTTTAAAAGAAACAGAAAATTACTTTTTTCTATATTAATTAATATCTTACTTGATCTGCTTTTCCTTGACTTTCCCTTAGAGAGGGGGTAGGGTTGGGTCAGTTTACTGGATATGACTGTTTTCAGATACTTACAAACCTTTTTGTAGATATGCTTAATTTTTAAGCGATTAGGCACTGAGAGTAGCAGAAATCCTGCAAAGCTTTATAGTTCACTAGGCATTTGCCTTTGTTGGTTCTATGAGTGATGTCTTTGAGTAGCTAGAATTTTCCCTGAATCTGCTAGAAGGGGTATCAGTATTTTCAGGTAACAAAGTCTGTTAGCACAACAAAAACTTCAGACCAATATTTTACTGTATTGGGGTTGGGTTTTTTTCCTTATTTGTTTTAGTTCTTATTAATTTCAGCTGCTTTCATTTTGGAAAATCTTACTGCTATTGTGTGTACTTCAGTGTACCAGCAAACACTGTTACCTGTTAACACATTGTCCACAAATGCCTCTAGAGAAGAAATTGTTGCACCTTATGTATATCTCAAGCAAACCAAAATATGATGCTTTTCTGCTTTGTTTATTCTGAATATGTTGTATCATACTTTACTGAACCCATTTTAACTTAGCTAAAGCTATCAATATTTATGCATTTCACATTATTTTCTGGATCTGAACCTGTGTATAAATCTTTCTTTGAAAAAAAAAAGACAAGCATTTACTGTAGTTGTCCTCTATGACTTATCCATGGGAGGGGGGAATCTTGTCTCAAGTGTAAAATGCAGTACTGTCCCAGTTTTCCTTGGCTTTTATTTATTTAGTCATCTTCAGTATTTCATAGTTCTGAGGCATACGAAATGCATTGTCATAGCCGAAGTTACAGATCTAAGAAGCTGGGAGAAAATTACTGTAATGTCTTCTTAATTGTTCTAGTACTGTATACAAATATGGGAAATATGTTCTGCAGAACATTTGAGATGCAGATTCTTATCCCCACAGTAGGCTATTTTCCAGGTATTAGACCAAATCAATCAAAACTTCATATCTTACAGGTCTTTTCTGACTAAATTATTCTGAAAATATTTATGGAGATTACTTAATGCTCTGCTTCTGGCAGTAAGTACCCCTTGAATGTGCTGTGATTTCAGAAAAGAATATATTTATTTAAGCTCTCTGAATGCTCTTTTATACTAATACGGTATCCCACAGGCAGGAGCAAGAGATTTCTTGGTAGTTTGGGTTTCTATTTTATAGCACTGGTGCATGACCTTTGAAACTAAAGTGATAAGCATTGTTGGAAAGAGGCACAAGAACAAGGGACTGGTAGAAGTGTGTGGATTTGTGGTGTTTGAATTCCAGCTTTGGTCTGTATTGTTTGGGTGAAAGCTGCCTTTGTAGCACAAGGCTGAAGAGCATTCTGTAGTTTGTATCAAGTAGAGAGTTGTAAGTCACGTCAGTACAAGGGAATGCCTTATAGTTTGGATGCTGTCTTTTGCAACAGGATATTAATTGAAGCAATTTTAATTTTCACTGCCTGTTTAGCTACTGTACAGATACTGAACCAACTGAAAGCAAGTTATAGACATGGGGCAGCTAAGAGCATGTAAGGAAAGCTGTCCTTTATTCTCAGTATGGCAACATTATGGCAACAAAGGAGAATTAGAAAAGAATTTAGATGTGTATATATAGGGGTGTGGGTGTGTGTGCGTGTGTGTGTGCGTGTACCTGTGTGTGCCTGGGTGTGTACATTCTGCAAAAAAATGATGTAGGAAACCAGAAAAATGATGGGTCTACAAGACACTATAATGTATGTTGACCCTTTTGAGTGCACTCCCTTTTTTTTGAATGCTGAGTCTAATATGGCTACCTCTCCTAAAAGACTACTTTTGTTAACTTCCATTTGCTTTCAGGCATGATCATGTAATCTTTTTGGCCATCGATACCATTTGTATATCGCTGTGTGCTTTATTTTCCAAGAGCAACATTTATATAGAGCAGATACCATAAAGGCTGAATATACAGTAGTAGCCAAACTATGTTGCTGGAGCATTTTTGTTTAGCCTCTGCCACAGTCATATGGGTTGCAGGACCCACTAGCTCTGCTTGGTTCAGTAAGATCAGTTTCTGTCAGAGAGAAGATGCAGTGCTTGAAGGGTGGTGGACTTGTGATGTTTCCAGAGCTGCCGAGTAAGCCACGTGCTGCTCTTGAAACAACTTCTGGAGTTTACGTTCACAGTCCTGATTTTGCAAGGAAACATAACTGTGCAACTTGGGTGTTGTATACCCTACATTATCCATTAGATGCTGTTTGTTTGCTGTGCTTGTTTGATAGGTTGTAGAGCTCCTTTGCCATGTTTTGCAATACTCATGGCATTCTCCCTACCCTGTACATATTTTTGAACTGTCAACTACAGCTGCCAGGATGCTGAGGCCCTTCAGGACACTGAGTGCCATGAACAAGTACATATTTAGGCTGTGAAAGGGTTACTTGCCTCCTCCCCTGAATTCCCCAAGAAAAAGGCACAGTGAGGTTTATGGTCTCACCAAAGTACTACCATAGTCACTTATATACTCAGTATTCTGTACTGAATTGACAACTTTGAAGAGACTTATAAGATGGATGTCTATTTCACGTTCCCCCACTAATTCTTTGATGGCAGAAATCTAGGAAGACTTGATGTGAGATCTCCACTCAGCAACACACCCAATTTAGGCTGGAAACCCTTCTTCCTTAAGGGGCAGCATTGTTGTTGGCACTGTGACAGTGTGGGAGCCCCAATCACAGACCACTATGCTTTTGGATTTAAGCTTGGGCTTGCATGGTGTTCCTGGGGGAAGCATATCACCATGACCTATGGTGGTCATGATGACATGCTTCCACCTTTATTGAGGTAGAATTTTAAAACTACTGCAAATAGCTTAACATCTATGGAGTTCTTCCAGAGGATTATATTGTAGTTTCTGAATCTTGGCTGTTTAGCATATACCAGGAGACCTGCCCTGTACTCCACTGGAAAAACCACATCTGTTCAGGAAAACTGACTGGGCTCCCAAATGTAATGCTCGTCTGCTCTTTTCAGCTCCAAGCTGAAACCTTGTTTGTCCCTCAGTGCTGCTGTACTTCAGTCAGTGGTTGGGTCTTTGAGGGCAACAAAAGCAGGAGAGGCATGTACATGCATGTGTCGGCATGTGTGTGTACATACACACACACACTGGAGTGCAGTGACTTCCAGCATGTACTCTGTGCTAAAGTGCTCCTGTGTTTGCTCATAAAACAACTTTGAAGTTTTTGAGACGATAGTTTTCCAACTTCCTTGCTAGATTTTGGTATCTTTTCTTCACATTAAACAGCATAAGATGTGAATTTCAAAAATCACATATGAAAAAAGCACAGATCCTGCTGACCTGGATGCTACAAAAACCTTCTTTCTCAGCAGTGCTTGCTTTTAATAACCAGTATCTGTTGACAGTTTCAACACAACTGATTTGCTATGATCTTTTTTCTTGGAGCCCAATCCTTCAACTTCTATTCTCACATGTATTTCCACTGGATTTCGACTTAATATATAGTTTTATTCTCTCCAAAGTTTGAGGTAAACATGCCTTACAATGGTTCATCTCCATCAATGGTATAAGAGAGCTACTGCCTTCTTAGTTGTGTGTAGTTAAGTCAGTAAGCACATTTATAGAATGTCATACTTTACTCAAAAACTTCTAATTTGATACTTCTAAGTGCACATGTTAAGTCATGTGTATAACATGCTAAAGTACATCAAACTGTGATAATGAAGCTGAATAAAAGATTTAATAAAATATTTGAAATATTTGGTAAGGACCTTTAAATAGATTTCTTTATGTTCATTCTATTTTGGTTATCTAGCGTGTGCCTGTAAACAGTTTCCCGTTTAAAACTAATGATTGCAAATAAATACTATTCAAATGGAGCTTCTTTGATACTTCACCTGCTTTACCATCAAATGATTGTTTACTTTAACATATGGCTGAGTTAGCAGTATTTGCAGAATTTGTTTTTAGCTACAGTACAAACTTGTTGGGTTGTTTATATTTAAACAAGCTCATTTTCACCAGAAAATGGAAGATGCCAAAACCCAGAGATGGATCCTCAGAGCTGTATGCTGTAGTTTTCTGTCAGATCATCCACTCACCTTCTGCACAATGACTGTGAAGATGTCATTTACTTTGCAAAGAACTTCTGCCCAGTTGTTCTTCCTTACATGTGTCTGTACTGGGAGCTTCCATTTTATTATTTAAAACTTCTGAGCCTGGCTCAGCACTGTTGACATTGCTTAGAAGATCCACAGATCCATTCAGGTGCCCTGGAATTCTGTGGACTTACATTGCATGAAGCTGGAGATTGTGGGACAGAGAGAGCCAGGACTCAGTGCAGTTAGGCTTTTGAAGAAAAGGTTGGTTTTCTTCTGAGCTTCCTAGGTATCTACTTCGTTTTTGTGGATTTTGTTGTCTTTGCACAGTTGGGAAGCTTGTCAATAGTCAACGGTGATAAAAGAGAAGTTGTCCCACAGAAGAAGTCCTTGCTATGATTTCAGTCTTTAAGTTCTACTAAGAGAACTTAGTAATGGTTTATCTTTTAGAAATAAGTAGCAAGTGACATCAATGCCTAAACATAAAGGTAGTGGGTTCCCACTACTTTGGAAACTTGTTTAAACCAGGAATCTGCTCTGCCCATATACTTTACAGTCTTGAGGCTTGAAAATTAGACTGTTTGAGATCTTCTTCTTTTCTGTCCTTGGATGCCTGAAGCCTCCTTGATTGCCATGTATTTTTTGATCACAGAAGAGCCCAGAACAGACTTCATGAAGTCAATAGACACTGGCTGTTCACATGGGAGCAGATCTGTCTCTGAGTCAAAAGCAGCAGAAGGGAAACACTTAGGGTTTTTTTTATCTATGTGCTATTTACTCAGGAAAGAAGAAACGTATGCAATTTTGCACTGCCTTTACTAGGTATGCGTCAGTATCTCTGCAAAGAAACACCAGGAATGGAAAAGCTTCAGCCTTAAAGGCCATGTAAAGGTCATGGGAAAGGGGAAGGAAAGTTCTGATTCAGTGAGAAAAAAAAGTGGAAGAAATTTTAAGAAATGCATGTTCTGTCAGTATCTGATGCCCTGTCAGGGACCTTGAAATCACTATTCACTTTTTTTTATTACTAAATTACCTTAAAACAGTTGTCTTCATTCCTTGAAGTCCCATCTTTTCTCCTCTGTTTTCATTTGGTTCTTCCAACTAAAAACCTGCTGAATTCAGCTAATTCTCAGTGCATCTAGATCTGGTTTGTTACCCAGCTCTCACTCAGGTTGCTTTTTCCAACTGCATGGCATTTCCACTGACTTAACTGTCAGGTAAGGTAAATTTCCACTAATACTTCTGGAAAAACACAGGATGGAAAGGCATCATCCAACTCCAGCACCATGCTTTGCTAGACACTGCTATTCTCCCCTCGATACCATTGTTGGGTCCCTTTCATTGTTCATTCCAGAGTTTTTGGATGTACAGCTAACCCTGCTTTCAGAGAGACTTTTTTTTCCTACAGTGTGACAACATGGAGTGAGACACACAGTGTACCTGGGCATACAGTAGCCATGCTATACACCAGCTCACACCAGCTCATGTGGCTATCAGTTCTCCAGTAGGACACTAGCACTTTGTAACAAAATATGAGATGCGCTCCTATCTCTGCTGCAAAGTTCTGTTTTGTTTTGTTTTGTTTTCTGAAATAAAACCTGTAAGATACAACATCTACCTTCTATCCAGTGTCAATTTTTTTTTTTTTTTTTTTTTTTTTTTTGTGGACTGTTCTTGGCACAGCAACAGTAAGAAATTGAGCTCTAATAGAGTTGCATTTAAAATACACTTGAAATTTCATCAAGGCTTTATTGATTGTTTTCTGATTGGAGAATTATTAGATGTTCACCAGAAGTGCACTGGCCCACAGTGTCACTGCTGCAAGCCCAGCTGAAATTCCATTTGAACATCCAAAACAAAATACAAAACATGTATTCCATATAGAGAAATAAGCACTTTAGCTTATTTGTCATCCTGTGAAACAAGAGGAACTAATTGAAATATACCCAAAAGTCAAGCTGGTTGAGTCAGAATGACATGCTTAGCATTGCAGCGCACTGAGAGAAGGCAGGTTGCTATCAAACAACATCCAATTTAAGAAAACAAAAAGGGTGGGAAAGAGAAAACCTGAGGTCCTGGGAGGTGTCCTTCCAATCCAGAAGAAGTTTTTGGAGTACATCTTTGGAGTACAAGTTTCATATATGGCCCACCAAAGGCTTCCCAGTTACAGCAGACCATCAGGCTTCAGTCAGACCAATCTGAGCATCAATTTCCTTCCTTCCTGTTAAGGGTGGGTTCCCTTAATACCTGGTCAGCACAACTGGGTTATTAAAACACTCTGCTGTTTTTAGGAGTTTTAGGAGAATTTTTAGGAGAATTTGGAAATCAGATAGTGCCAATCTGTCAGTAGTTTAGGATACATAGTTTTGGTTTTGATGTCCAATAATGGCTTTTGAAATGGCTTTGGAGTTTGTGTGTTTTCAGTCTTGCAAAACCAATGTCATTGATTCAGGCAGCCTGCAGCACGCCATTGCCATTGGCATCAGTCAGAGTGATGTCATTTGAAGCAAATTCACTGCACATCTCTCTCTTGAGAGACGATTCCCTGTTACATTCGTGATTCATCTGGTTTGGGACTCCCAGCTGTGGTGTATCTCATGAAGGCACGCTCTGGCAGGGGGAGGTTCTTTTGCTACAAGCCTGTCCAGGATGGCAAAAAGCTTGTCAATGCCTCCACAACTTTGTGTGGGCTCTGTGCTTGCCTGCAGCTGCTGAGATAGATTTTTGTAATCCAAAGTGAAACAAACCCAGCTGGGAACTCAATGGTGAAGTTGGACCTTCATGAGTTTCCAGGTTTCAGTAGGTGGTACAGAGATTGACAGGTTGTGGCAACAAGGCTGTGTTTGCTTTTTTTTTGAAGAGCAGAGTTTTCTAGCAGAACTAAGGTGGCAGGGAAGTTACCATCACAGCAGATGGACAATTCATTGTCTTCAAGAGGTTCCAATTTCAAGAGCAAGATTTGCCAAGTTGTCTTAAAAAAAAGCGGAAATTACAGTTTAAGTCTGTCTCTTGGAATGGATGCTGTGTTTTGCTTGAGTGACTGTAGCAGTAACTCTTCATTACTCCAGTTAGAAGTAGTATGTGAGCTGCTTAAGGGGTGATGCAGTTTGAAACCATCCCATTACTCCCAGATGACAGATGTATTTGGCACATGGTGTAAGTGTTGCTAATGAGTGCTTCCCTGCAAGTACATCATAAATAATATCAAGTGCTCATCCATATTTGAATCAGTAATTAAGAAAATTCTTCTTGCTGTCCTAAGGAAATAGACCTTGCTTGGCTGGCACAAGGCATAGTTGTACATTGGAAAGTAATGGAGGGAAGCATTTGCTGTGTAACTGTTTGATCTTGATAGATAATTTTTTTTCCAAACATCTTTGTTAGTAATTGTCTGTAGTGCACCAGATTTAGGACATAGTTAATTGAACTCTGGGATCTTTCAAAGTGAAGGTAACTACTTATTTCTCATGCAGAAATCCATGCCAGCAAGGAAGTCACTTAGGGATGAAGGGTTGCATTTTTGAAATAACTAATTTATGAGGATTTTACTCTTGGTATGTTTCATGGGTGAGAACCTTGAAAACAGCATAATACACAAGAGTTGGTATAAAAGCATTAGTTTCATATTCCTGGATTCTGTTAATCTACAACTAATTTCAAGAACCTACACCAAAAAATAGATATTTCCTATTCCACCTTGACATGGTGGTTGTCTAGTTAAAGGCCAAGGGTTGCCAGCAGGGATTTAAAAGCATCTTTAATGATGAGATAAAAATGTATTCTTAAATAGAAATTTCTGGGCTTTTTGACCACTCAGAAAATACTCAGTGTGCTTTGCAAGAAGAGCAATTTTTTGGTTCTTTTGATAAATAAAACCACAAATATAGCTATTTCAACAATCTTAAGATAAATAGAAAGTGGCAAATGGAATTTTTTAGATGCTGTGAGTTGCCTCGGACATAGATGGGAGTCCCTCAGCAGTGCTGGCTTGTCGCACCTGACAGTCCTTGTGGGAGGATGTGGTGGTGTGCCTGGAATGTGCATTTGTATCCAGCAGTAAACACCATCCCACAGATCTCAGCCGCTGGAAATCCGTTTCCATCAAGATACCAGGGACATGAGCAGCATAAAAGCTGTTTAAAAAGTACTGGTTGGGTTTTTTGTCCCACTAAAATGTTTTATGTTTGGTAGAGAGAGATCTCTTCCTTGCATGGTTTTCTTTATGTTGTTGCAGGAAGTTGGGAACACCAAGCTTCACTTGCAAATCTTTCACCTTGCTTTTCAATTATCTTGCCTTTCTCGCCTCTCTTTTTTTGAGAGGCTGAACACTTGGTAGACATCAGTAGCAAAACATACCACAGATTTTAAGTGGGATGGACAGTATCCCACACCTTCCCAAGCATAACTCTGAAAAACCTGCAGTGGTTTTTTAATTAGTATTTTAACAACAGTTTTCCTGAGCTATGGCAGTGCATCAAACACAGCTTCTGCAAAAAGATGGGCAGAGGGGGTGGGATCCTGCTGGGAAGTGGATAGAGCAGCAGAGCTGGGCTCCCCAGACCTTTCTTGTGCCCCAGGTCTCTGTGGGAAAGCCCACCAGTGCCAGAGCCAGGCACCCAGCAGGTTTTTGAAACCTGATAAATTATTTCCTCCTCCTAGCAGTTTATTGTGAGAGTAGATTCACAGTTTATGGGAATTTGGCCTGGTTCATTTTTTAGTGCATGGCTTAAGTTCACTTTTTTTTTTTTCTAAAGCCAAACCAAACCCCCTTCATTAGTGCATATTAGACCGAAAACATTCAAAAGAACTCATGCTAAGCCTTAACTTGCAAAATAAAACTCAACATATTTCTGAATTTCTTTATTACAGGCAGACAAGGCAGCCCCCAGACAATTACACTTTTTTCTCCATAATTACAGAAGAAATCTTCAAATAAACCTAAAATTGGTTTTTCCAGGTACATTGCTCATACAGCCTTGCTTAAGGCAGCAGGCACACATGGGGGCAGCCTGTGGGATCAGACATGCAGCATTATGGCTTTCCCTCCAGTGGAGGCACCCTGGCCATCAGAAAGCTGTGCAGCAGCCCCACTGCATCCAAAGGGATGGATAAGGGATGCCAGGTGCTGCAGACCACTGCAGTTCGAGTCGCACCTGGGGTTCACCTAGCCAGGGGCTCTTGCCCTGCATGCCTTGCCAGTTTGTAAAATGTTATTTTGATTTCGGTGTCCTTCACCTGCTTGTGTTTGAAAGCTGTTCTAGGCACCTTGCATGGCAGAGGTTGTGTTGGCAGTGCAGTTCCCTGCAGGTTTGAGTTGTTGCAGGCAGAGATTGGCAGTGGAAGCACCAGATACTTGCTGTTGTAAACGTCATCCATCTCCTTGAAATATTCTTGTGATGGTGGTTG